CTCTGAGACTCCTGATGGATTAACTGTCTGTTGCTTTTCATTCATAGCAGCAGCGCCCTTAAGTCCCTATATACATCAGAGCCCCATTGTACTGTCATCTGCAGTGTGTGAGAAACAAATGAAGGGAAAAGTGATTCCTCCACCTCTTGTATGTATCTTTAACTTGGAGAGTAAATACTCTGGACGAGCCCTTTCCTTGTGGCTTTGGACAGCATGTGGCGGAGGCCAGCAGGCCACCATGGGGAGGGGGCGACGCCCTTAAGTCCCTATATACATCAGAGCCCCATTGTACTGTCATCTGCAGTGTGTGAGAAACAAATGAAGGGAAAAGTGATTCCTCCACCTCTTGTATGTATCTTTAACTTGGAGAGTAAATACTCTGGACGAGCCCTTTCCTTGTGGCTTTGGACAGCATGTGGCGGAGGCCAGCAGGCCACCATGGGGAGGGGGCGAGCATGGGCTCTGGTGGGGGAGGCTGGGAGGAGCTTGCTTCCTCAAGCCATGCGGTCACCCACTATCCATGCACTTTTCCCTTCATTTGTTTCTCAATGCAGCTCTGGTGTATATAGGGACTTAAGGGTGCCACTGCTGCATGAATGAATAGTAACGGAGCAAGAGTCTCAGAGTCCAAGTCAACTGATTCAGGTGCATGCTACAAGGCTAGTAGTGTTGCCATTTGGGCTGAAGCTGGAGCATGGACTTGGAACCTATTGAGAAAGGATGGGAGCCTCTCTGCATAGAGCACTGCTGTTTTTAACCCCATGAACCTATGTCAGTTGACACAGGATCTGAGAATTGCTGCCTTGGAGGTTTTGGGAGTTTTTTTCTGGGGGAGTGTAGAGGGAGTTCACACAGTGTAGAGGTACCCAGAGAGACTAAAACAGAGACTGTTTTCTCTAAGTCTAAAGGAGCAATTGAAAGCATGACGACTGATTCTAGTAGAAATGAGAGAAGAGGTTATGAGTTAGAGATACAGGCTAGCGTGCTTTTGGTGCTGTGAGCAAAATAAGTGGTTTCCTGCTATTTGATACCTTCTGTATTCAGAGGCCCAGAACTGGAAGTTAGAACATGCTCAGGGCCCCAGTCTTTGACTAGATGGTTGGGTAAAAAATGGACAGTAAATATGGAAGCTTTTATTAGACCAACTTACGTTGGTGAAAGCTATGAAGCTCAGGAATTTCTCTCTCACCAATAGAGGTAGGTCACCTTGTCTCTCTAATATCCTGGGATCAGCAAGTCAACAACACAGCAAACGATAATGAAATAAGAGAATTCATGCACAGTGGAAAGTTTCATGTTAATATTTTTGTAAGGTAGTAGTTTTCTTCTTTTCCACTACATCCAAAATTTTCCTGAAATTCACTATATTGCTAAGCCATTTGTCTTGATTTTATAGATTAACCAGTATATTTAAACTCAAATTCTTTACATTTATTGTAAAGAAAAAAATAGTTAATTGCATTTTTTAAACCACCATTTCACTGTTAGATTTCCCAACTCTGGTCCTTTAATTGTATCATTCTGAACAATCTGTTATCTTACATTCGCCTGGTACAACCAACACTGATCTTTTTTATTTTTGCATACATGTGGACAAAAGTATTGCTTGCACATCATGATTGTTGCTCTGATACATAGTTTATTTTAACCATACTTGTCTTGAAAATGATTGATTCATTGATAGGGTAAGGAGGGAGAGAGTTAATCAACCTCCCAGCATACTCTAACCTTGTTCTATACCCTGCCACTATTCTATTGCATACTCCAAATATATCTTTAAATAGCATTATTTTTAAATATTTGTATTACCATACACTCAAAGCATTGGTCATAGACCCAGACCTCATTGGGCTGGACACTGTCCAAACACAAAACAAAGACATTCACTGCACCCAAAGAGCTTATACTCTAAATACAAGGCAAATAACAGATGGATGTAGACAAAGCACAGGAACACAGTAAAACAATATTGCTCAGTATGATAGGTAGTAGCCATTGCACACCAACAACCTGTTAGATTTTTTAGGAGACTTGAGCAGGGATTTGAAGGTAGATAATTAGGTAATCTTGTAATGTTTATAAAGTGGCCACTGAAGCATATGGGGCAGGATGGGCCATGCAATATGTGTTTTGTTTGAAAATGTATCAGGTGAGCATCATGGGCCAATCAAATGCAAGCATCAATAGCTTGCTAGGGAATGAGAGATGATAGACTGGAAATTGTGTTCACTTTCAAGACCCTTCACAGTGAAACAGGTTTTGACTTAATAAAGAAGGAGGAGCCAGAGAGGGATGCAAAAAGGATGATATAGTCAAAGCAACATTATGAATGGATAGGAGTTGGGCAAGCCTGCATCTGTCAAGGTCAGAAAAAAGAGATGTTGCAGTAATTAAGATGCAAAATAAGGTTGGCAGAGAATTTGAGCTGTGTGGATGGATAAGAAATACTCTATTTAGAGCTATTACTCAGAATGAATCAGCTTGA